CAGGGTTAAAGCATGGATTTGGAATTTCACAAAATACGAACACGATGAGAAAACTAAGTAAAATTACCTTTATACATCGAAAGAAGACTGCGACCAAAACAGAAACCACAGTATCTTGACCTGTACATCTCATTCTGGGAGTGGAAAAGTGGTCCACTCGAAGTCGGTTAGCGCATTCCAGAATACTCTGGATAAGGATCAGGCTGCTAGTTTCTGCTGTCAATGTAATTTCTCTTGTAGTATACTAATCATCTTAGTAGGATACAATTTTACTAAAGACAGTTTTGAGGAAAGTGGGGGGCATCATATCTAATGACATCGGTCTTTTAGTTCAAGTATACCAAATACATTTTATGAGCAACCTTGACTTATTAATGAGTCTACAGCCTAAAATCCCAAACGGGATTATAGGGATATTGAAAAAATTATAATTTATCATCTTTGTGGGTAGCATAAGAAAAATTTAAAGAAACGCTTCTTACTAAAACTATAGGTCGAAATAAATGGGCAATTTCTTAGGGAAACATTGACATAATTTAGTCTGCAGGTCGCAATTGAGTATGTGCCACAAAGATTCAGTCAGGATGACGGTTTGCCCCACATCAGACTCATAAATCTGCATTATTTCTAGTTATTTTCACTTAGAATTTCCGCAATTAGGAATCTAGCTTACGAAGTATGTGCATTTTAAAGTTATATTATTTGCGATGATTTCTCATTAGTCTTTCTACTTTTAGAGCTAAGACTGAATTGACTTTCCTATAGTGGAAGTAATATGGATGTCATGAAATTTGAGTTCCACAAAATGTATCAAGAAAACCAGGGATTGTTTGACTTTGGCTATGACGACAATGAGTCATATTTCAAATCTTGCTAATTGAAGAGCCAATTGAAGTCCGAAACGACATTAGGTTTTGTTGGTGAGGGCAAACTTCGATACCACTTGCATCACTTTCTGCCGAATTTGATAAGGCAAATTGCTCACCAGTTTAATGCTGGAATTATATCCATGGTTTATGCGAAAATATAACTGATGCATTTATGGATTCAATGTTAAGAGTTAATATTTAGTCTAAATTAAATTGTTATATATCCTATTGTGCGTTGAATCATAGTAACTTCAAATAAATATTTATTTATTTATATCATATTTCAAAAAATGCTAACAAAGGCAATTCTAGCGGTTAATGTTGACAAGCTGGTGAAATCATTCTTTTTGTCGATATGCATTATAGACAAAAACAGGACATAATTCGTCAAGCTTCCATTTTAGCACAATTTTTCTGATTATTTTAACCAACATTTTATTCCTTAAAAAGGTAATCAAACAGTTTTATGTCTTAAACTTTCTTTTACTCAAGACTTTAAGCTATTTGAGCAACCTAACAAGCGCCATGGTTCCAACAGACTATACATCGGCGGCTCTCTTTATGACGGTTCTTGTTACTCTGACCGAGGGATCTAAGGATGCTGGACAAGCTGGTGTACAAGGGCTCATCACATCTATGCAAAATCAAATCTCATTTATGGCCAAATCTCAGGAGGATCAGACACCAAATGAACTAAATAAGATGGTGCCAACTCTTTTAATGTCGACCTTTAATCTGGCCTCAGTAAGATCATTATCTTTCTTCCCTTTTACTTTTTTCTAATCTAAATATAAGTCAATGCAATTCCCCATATGCAAATCCAACCCCCGCATGTGAGGGAGCGGCTATCAAAATGCTTTGACTTCTGCACATTTTGGGATTAAAGTCAACTTCTTTTTAGCATGAAGTAGGCAAGCGTTTTCCTAATTTGGCACTCAGCCCCAACTGGACTTCTGTTGCAGTACAATTAATAGAGCCTTCGTCTGTCAGGCCAACTGACAAACAGCATTTTTGCCAGAAAATACTCTAAAAAAATAACTTTAAGCCAACTCCGAAAAATGAAAACTCTCATTCTTTCTGCACATTTGATTTAGCCTAGAATGCGCACGGACCAAAGCTAATAGTATTACTCAATCTTATTATTGCGTTTCCTTGAGTCAATAAAGAATACTAAATTTAAATGATTTGGCAATTGTGTTGAGCTACATTGGGTAATACTCGTATTATGCAAAAGCATACTTATACAAAAATGTAAAAAAAAATATATAACCAACTCATTCGTATCCTTCGAAACGAATTCTTTTAGAAGTTTAAATTTTATGTAACAACATACTTTTCAAATTTGTATATGCCTTGTTAGTGTTAATAAACCCTGTACAATTCTTCAGTAGTAATTACAGCATTTGGTTGTAATGAGCTCAACCAGGAATTGCTGATATCTCTCTAAGCCAGTCCCGCGTTTGTTTGCACAGAAAATTCAACATGTTTTATCTTCTTCC